TCCAAATCCCCACTGTGAGAGCAGGCCTCCCAGCTCAGGGCTGAAGACAGAGTGCTTTGACCTGGATTCTGGGGGGCCCTGGGCATCTGGGGAGGCCAGGGTGGAATAGAATGTTGTGTCTGGATGCTGCTCTTGTCCTAAGGGGACGATCTGTGGGCCGTGCTGACTTTTTATAGCTGCATGGGAATCGTCAGGGAGGAGGATGGGTTGGCCAGGGCCTGGGAGCACAGCTTTATTCGGCAAGTAGAGAGGGCCCCTGTCTCAGCCTCTGGAGGCCCTGCTGGCTAGGCAGGGAGCCAGAGAGGGCGGGAGAGAGAAGGAGGATTGCTGGTAGCAGAGAACAGCTAGTCTTGAAATCGCAAACTGGGGGGATTCTGACCCATCAGTGTGCTTTGTTTCTCCCACCTTTAAATCCAAAGGTCCAGCAACATTGGCTGGAGTTAAGTAATGCTTCCCCTTCAGAAGGGACATGTTACATCCATTTTACCCTGGTGTCCACCTCTTAGTCCTGCCTGCTTCATTTAGGTCAGCCAAGGTCTTTGTGCTTGCAACCTCCAGGGTAGCAGACTAGCTGAGCCTGCTCCGGGTTGCCAGCTCCCACTGTCCTCACTGGGGATCCAGAGCAGGTAGGGTTAGAAGTCAGTACAGGAGGGCCTCCCCGGTGGCGCAGCGGTTGAGCGCTGGGTTACGAAGCTGCCCTCAGCCTCTGCTGCGCCGGTTCGATCCCCGGCCGCTCCCCGGCCACCGGAGGAGGAGCCCACATGGCGTGCAGACCTCTCCTGCCGCCCACTGCTCCCCTCAGCAGTGTACTTCGGTCCTTCTGCCTGCTCTGCTCCCTGCTCTGGCTCTGGTGAATTCTCTCACCCTCCCGCGCTTCTGACTGTACCCAGTGCATGCATAAACAAAAACAAAGAAACAAATAAATAAATAAACATGCCTCTATTTAAAAAAAAAAAAAAAAAAAAGAAGTCAGTACAGGAGCTTGTGTGGGGGGCTGGGAGTTTGCATCAACCTGGGGATTGCACTGGGATGTTGGGAACATCTTGGGAAAGGATATATTCTGTTAATTTCTTTTTAAGTATTCTCTTGTTGTTTTATTGTGTAGAAGAACTGGGGTGTAGTCAAGAGTTGCGGGGGCGAGGGTGAGAAGATTCACCAGACAGAGTGGGGAACAAACAGATTTACTGCAAAACACTGCTAAGGGAAGCAGCGGGCAAGACAGGAGAGGTCTGCTGTGCCATATGTGGGTTAGTTGGGATTGAACTCAGGCTGTAGCACTGATAGCACTGAGACTTAACCCCTAGGCCACCAGGGAGGTCCCCCATTAGTCTCTGTCCAAACAGAAGCTTCCCTCTGCCTGTTTCTCCTGCTTCTCTTTCTGAGTTTTTGCATGTACACACAGGGGTATGACCCTACGCACATGTATGTGGGGGGGGGGGTGTATGTGCACATGTGCCTCACAGGGGTATTACCCCAGCTCTACCTGGAGTATCCATTTCAGTCAAGAACTGGAGACCCCATCTGTTGGACCAAACTGTTGCTGGCCCTGTGCATCCTGAGGGCTCCCTGAACCCCGCTGTTTGACTCTCAAGGATCTTCTCTCGAGGAGAGTTCCTTCTGGGACCGGGAGCCAGGCTGGGACCAGGAGCGTGCAGCTGGACAGGGAGGTGACGCCCTGCCTCTCTTTTGCATTTGCTGGTGCCGGCTGAAGATGTGCCCGGAGGAGAAGGCCAGCTACACAGTGGTGCAGATGAGCGAGGAGGGGCTGGCGGCCGCCGGTGATCTCCCTGGACCACTCCTGATGCTGGCCCAGAACTGCGCCGTCATGCACAACCTGCTGGGCCCTGCCTGCATTTTCCTGCGCAAGGGCTTTGCTGAGAACAGGCAGCCTGTACGTAAGTTGCCCCTGTGGCTTCGCAGGGCATGAGGCGGTGCCGGGAAGAAGAGGACTCTAAACAACAGCTCTGACTCCCTATACGTATACCTCAAACCCTCAACTTGTGAATCTAATTCCCCACAGTTTCCCCCTCCTGGCTGCAAAGTACTGGTGAGTCCACTCCATCAGCAAGAAATAATAATAGCAGATGACCTCATTCTGCCTTATTTTTATTTTTGAGTTATTACTATGCGCCAGGCACTGTGTTAAGTGCTTTGGTGGATCATCTCATTTAAACCTCAGAGAGACTCCAAGAGGTAGGTACTATTATCATCCCCATTTTACAGATGGGGAAATTGAGCTGGAGAGGCAACATGCTCAAGATGACAGCTAGTGGGTGACAGAGGATTTGATCTCAGGAAACTCGAGGGCCCCCTGCATTCTTTTTTTTTTTTTTAATTTTATTTACTTATTTACTTATACAAGAACTGGGGTACAGGCCAGACGCACGGGAGGGTGAGAGGATTCACCAGAGACAGAGTGGAGAACAGAACAGGCAGACTGATGAGATACACTGCTGAGGGGAGCAGCAGGTGAGACAGGAGAGGTCTGCCGTGCCATGTGGGAGCCTCGCTGGCCGGCCGGGATCGAACCGGCGCTGCAGAGGCTGCAGACGGCTTCACAGCGTGGCGCTCAACCGGCTGCACCACCAGGGGAGGCCCCCACCTTGCATTCTTTAACAATAGCACTTAATATGCAGCATTGTCTGGTAGAGCTCTCGACCATGTTGGAAACATTCTATGTGCCGTCCAATACAGAAGTCACTAGCAACATGTGGCTCTGCAGCACTTGAAATGTGTCTAGGGTCATTGATGAGGTGGATTGTTAATTTTATTTAGTTTGAATTTTATTTTATTTTATTTTTTTAGATTTATTTATGTATGCATATAAGCAGGTGAGACAGGAGAGGTCTGCTTCACCATGTGGGTTTCTCTCTGGCTGGCTGGGTATTGAACTCATGCTGCAGAAGCTGCAGGTTGCTTCATAGTGTGGTGCTTAGCCCATTGTGCTACCAGGAGGCCCTTTGAATTTTAAAAACCATCTGTGGCTACTGTGTTGGGGAGTTCCCTGTAGGTATCTGAGCAGACACAGTGAGGAGGGTAATAATGACAGCGTTACAGAGGCAAGTGCCAGTAGGTTCCATTTATCCAATGGCACACGCTGAACACTTTATAAATGTTGTCTCAGGTTGCTCTCAAAGGCCCTCTTATGTGGGTCCTGCCATGAACCCATTTACAGTTGAGGAGATGCAGCTCCTGGAGCGGAAGTGCTCACCCCTGGTCCCAGAGCCAGGAAGTAGCAGAGCTGGGCTTGGTGCTCTAGTCTCTGATTCTAAAGGCCAAACTCTTCTCCCTGGACACCCTGCCATAAGAGGAGAGTGTGTGTGTGCTCCATTCCTGGCTGACACCCCAAGAGTTGGTTCTCACTACTATATAATGGGGGTCCCTCCTCTACTGGAAGCCACCAGGGCTCAGCCAGACCAACTCGGGCCATGCTGTGCAAGGGGTCCTGGCTTTCCTGCAACCTGGTTCCAGTATATAAGAAAGAGGGAAGGGGGTTGCAGTGGGACTCAGAAGCATCTCATTCCTGTCCAGACCTGTGAAGCTGGGTCCTGGCAAAGTGGGAAGCTGCTTGCTTGAGACCTGACGCTGGGCAAGGACTTGCCATAGCTATATCACTTGTCCTGGTGAGTGTACTCTGCACACTCCTTGCACTGACTGGGGACTGGGTATTGCAAAAAACATCCCTTTTGGTCACCCAAGTTCCCAGTCTGGCCAGGAACAGGCGTGACAATGCTTTCTCTGATCATCGTGACAGGCTTTTAAAGTAGAAGTGAGTACTGTCATCAGAGTCCCTACCTTCAGTGACTCCGCTAGAAATGCTGCCGGCACGCCTGCTGGCTGGTGACCTGCCCACTCCAAGCTCATGCACACGCTCAGCCCTGCCCTGCCACGTGTAGCCACTTCCGAGTGCCAGGTGTCCTGTGCGCCTGGTTGTCGGACAGGATGTTGCTCAATAATCCCTTTCAGGCTGATGCTCAGATTCCCCCGTGCCCTCTGCCCTGGGGCCAGGGTAGCGTGGATGGGCAGCAGCTGCCGTGCCCACCGGCCCATGGTGAGAGCAGCCCTATATGCACAGCGGGGTGCTCACGTTCACTGCTGCCAGCCCGCATGTCTGTGTACGTGGTAGGTGGTGCCCACACCTGGGGTGTGCTTTCTCAGGTTGGCACCCCCTGCCTTTGTTCTCCCTGCCCAAAGGCAGAAAGCTGCAACATTTGGGGGAGGATGAGCTCTGTGGGCCAGCTCTGGTGCCTACTAAGCAGGATCAGCTGGGCACCCAGATCTGTTCCATGCCTGTCTGTCCCGACATCCTGGGGAGTCTTACCACCCGGCGTCTGCCCCATGCTCTCTGGGCCTGCTCTTTGGAGACCTCTGCCATCTGTTCTCATACCTAGACCCGGGCTTCCTTGGCTCTCCAAGGGGACCTGGGAGCTGCTTGAGGCTGGAGACTTATCCTTTGGACCCTGGCAGCCACCAGAGACATGGGTGGCCCCTAAGGTCCTGTGCTTTGCCCTATAGGCAGGCCAGTTACAGGGTGACAGGGCACAGCCCTAATTCTGCCTGGATACTCTCGACTCCTCATCCTCTTTCTCCTCTTGGGCTGCCTGCCTTGGCCTGGTGCTCTCTCCCCCCAGCTCCTCCTTGTCCCCTACTTGTCCTGGTTTCATTGAGGGGTTCTCTTCTCTCCTATGTGATCTGCTGACCCTGCTTTATTTACAGGTTTTTTCCCCTGGCCAGCTCTGCCCCCTGGCAGTCTTTTGTCTGGAATAAGGGGCTGGGGATGCAGAGTTTCTGTGCCCAACCTGCATGGGGCTCTTGGGTTCCTAGGCATCTCCCATGTCGGTGGGAGACGTGAGGTCACGTCTTTGTTTCTCAAGGACATAGTCCAGCATGCCCCTGCTGCAGCCCTGTCCCTTCCTGACTGGTGCCTGCTGCCAGTGGGTAGGCATTTGTGACCCCCGGGCCCTCCGCATCTGCTAATAGAACTTGTTTTCTTGTTTTAGGACAGATCACTGCGGCCAGAGGAGATTGAAGGTAAGATCTGGTCCCGTAAGGGAAAAGGGTCTCTCAACGGTCCCAGAAGGGACACTGCTGTCTGGTTGGAAGGAGGGCAGAGCTACTCGGCCTCCTGGGGATGGGGCCCGGGGCAGGACACTGTGCCAGAGGAGTGCACAGTTCTGGGCAGCGCTGGGGCCTTGGGCTGCCTTTGCTCCCAGAGACTTGCGTGCTCCACCCCCGTCATGCCCACCTTTGTTCTCTGCCCTCAGAGCTCAGGGAGGCCTTCAGAGAATTTGACAAGGACAAGGACGGCTACATCAACTGTCGGGACCTGGGCAACTGCATGCGCACCATGGGCTACATGCCCACCGAGATGGAGCTCATCGAGCTGTCCCAGCAGATCAACATGAACTGTGAGTCCCTCTGGCTGGCACCGCCTTCCCCCCACCCCGGCCTTGAGATCTTCTGCAGCCAGCCAGACAGGGCTAGGTTCGCCCACTGGGCCCAGCTCTCCCCAGCTCTGTGACCAGTGGCGACCCACTTGCCTCCTCTCCTCACCTGTAAAAGGGGCTCGTAATAGGGGAGCAAAGAAGAGGAAGTAAATGAGGGGATAATGCAAAAGCCCAACATCTGGCCCACAGTAAGAGGCGAACAGAGGGAGCTGTGATTCCTGTGTCTTTCTCTGACTTAGTCTGGGCCCCGACAAGAAAGTCGGCGAGAAGGGATGTAGGGCCAGTAGTTCTCTCGGTAGGTGGAGGAAAGCTTTGGTAGGGAGTGAGGAAGTGAGACAGCAGAGAGGTGCCAACAAGGCTGCCCTCACCTGCCAGCCCCTCCTGGGATAATGGGATCTAATTCTTCTGGGGAGCTCCGGAGTTGGGGAAGGTGCCCACCCCCAAGTGACCCTCCAGCTCTTGCCTCTCTGCTGGGGGCTTATCCTCTAGACTGTCACTCCCTGGCTGAAAGCTGTCGTGAGCAGGTCAGTTCTCCAGCTCACCTCCCTCTGAGAACCATCGCTTCCCTGTGCACCAGAGTAAGGCGGGAGCAGGTGGGCCAGCACCCGGAACTTCTGCTCTCTCTGCCTTTCTGCCTGTGTGTCTCTGAAATTCCTTGTCTCTGTGACTGTCTCTTCCTTTCTCTGATCCATAGCTACCTCTGTCCTCTCCCGGGGTTGGTTCCCTTACGTGGACTCTGGCTGCGCGCCTGAGCCATTCTGTGACAACCACCTTTCCACGGTCCAACCTTTGGTTAAATCCTGCACCTGGCACTGAGTGGGTCAAGGAGGGGTTGGCGGCTCCCATTACCCAGTTGGAGATGGGTAATGGTTAGATGGATGACTGAGCCCGCTCCTCTGTCCCCAGTGGGTGGCCATGTGGATTTTGATGACTTTGTGGAGTTAATGGGTCCCAAACTCCTGGCTGAGACGGCAGATATGATTGGAGTAAAGGAACTGCGAGATGCATTCCGAGAGGTGAGTGAGGGACAGTGGGCAGGCAGGGGCCCTGTCTAGATACCAATCCCAGGGTGCTTACTTGAAAAGAAACCTGAGCTCTGGATCCCAGACCAGGGGAAGGAGCTTAGAAAGAAGAACCTCTGGGGAAGGGGGCAATGACTCTGGAGAAGGGCCTCGACCTTGGGGCCTATACCTGACAGTCTCCATGTTGTAGCTGCCTCTCCCTCCTTCCTGCTCCCTAGTTTGATACCAATGGTGATGGGGAGATAAGCACCAGTGAGTTGCGAGAGGCCATGAGGAAACTCCTGGGTCATCAGGTGGGACACCGAGACATAGAGGAAATTATCCGAGATGTGGACCTCAATGGGGATGGAAGAGTGGATTTTGAAGGTAGGTGGGGCCGCCCATGGAGCTCTGCAGCTGTGTATCCATCCTGCAACTATCAATCCATCCCAACTTTCCTCTCCCCTGCCTTCCATGCTCCTGTCCCTCCATCCACATGCTCCTCTAATCCTCCCTCATCCCTGCACTCATCTGACGCGGGCAGGCAGCCCATGACGTTCTCAGCTGTGAACGCAGACTCAGAGTCTAAATGAATTTGCAGCAGGGGGAGGCTGGGGAGAGCCATTGAGAGCAGCTCTGCCTTTCACTCTCCCAGCCCAAGCTTTTATTCAAGATATGAACAAAGAACAAGAAAATAGCATGCAATTGTGTTATGCTTATACAGATGAATAAGTTACTGCTGGAATAAGTTTTTCTGGCTAGTAGGGAGCATGCGCACAAGCCAGAGAACAGGAGTCAATTCTGGGAAGTTCTGTTTGTAGAACTTCTAACGTCTTGGAACTCTGGGTGCAGTAAACAGGGGCACTCAGAGAACCCCAGCTCCCTCCAGGGCAGCAGGCTGCCAACACTCATCCATCCATCCAGCCGTGCGTGCATCTGTCCATCTGTCTTTCCCTCTGTTCATCTATCCATCTCTTCATCTGCCCATTTCCTAAATAACCATTCATACAACTCTTTATCCATGCACTTATCTATACATCCGTGTGCATCTCCCCAGCTATCCATGCGTCTGTTCTAAATATTTACATGCCTCTACCTACCCGTACTTCTACACATGCTTCCGCTGACCTCTCCATCTCTGTGCAATCATGTTTCCTTCTATGTCCATCTGCCCATCCATCCATTCATCCATGTGCCCATTTGCCTCCATCCATCCCTGCCCATCTGTCTGCCTACCTCCTCATGCATCCACCCGTGAGAGGAAGCTTCTGAACACCACGTTCCTCAACTTGACACTGAGGCATCCTAAGATTCCACCACAGCTCGCCCTCCCAGTCACCACTCCTGACCGCCCTTCACTCACGCTCTGCCTTAAAGCCACACCAAAAGGCTTATGTTCCATGAGCCTGCTAGGCCCTCCTCTGAATGTGCTGGTTTTTTTCTCAGATATCTTTTATTCTCTTCTGGGTTAAATTCTTTTTTTTTTTTCTTCTTCTGGGTTAAATTCTATCCTTCAAGACCCAGCAGTGGGGCCACATCCTCCAAAACTTCTTGTCTGAATCTCCACCCTGAACTTCCTCTTTTGCGGAGTGCTTTCATAACACCCCTCCATCATTCTTCACTGTCCCTTAACTACTAACTATAGTTGTCTCTCCTCCCAACTGATGTTTTTGAGAAGAACCACAGTCTCTTTTTGTCTACATTTCCCACATAACTGGGTACCTGGCATATAGCTAATATTCAGTAAAATTTTATTTTTTATTTATTTTTTAAAAAGATTTATTTTTTTATTTATGCAACAGCCGGGGTAAAGGCCAGATGCGTGGGAGGGTGAGAAGATTCACCAGAGACCGAGTGGGGAACAGAACAGGCAGACTGATGAAATACACTGCTGAGGGGAGCAGAGGGCGAGACAGGAGAGGTCCGCTCACCATGTGGGTTGCTCCGAGGCCAGCAGGGATCGAACCGGCACTGCAGAGGCTGTGGACAGCTTCACAGTACTGCTCTCAACCACCTGCACCACCAGGGAGGCCCTCAGTAAAATTTTAAAGTAGTCATTAATAGTCATAATGGTTACCATTTATTATTCTATACTTACAATGTGCCAGTCACTGTGCTAAGTAACATCACCTATATTTCTCACTTGATTCACACATGACATTACAAATGAGGAAACCAAGGCTCAGAGAAGTAATATAACTTGGTGGAGATTGCCTAAGTCTTTTTTTTTTTTAAAGATTTATTTATACATACAAGAACTGGGCTACAGGCCAGAGGTGCAGGGGATGAGAGGATTCACCAGAGACAGAGTGGGGAACAGAACAGGCAGACTGACGAAATACGCTGCTGAGGGGAGCAGCGGGTGAGTCAGGAGAGGTCTGTTGTGCCATGTGGGTTGCTCCCTGGCCAGGCATTGAACTCATGCTGCAGTGGCTGTGGATAGCTTCATAGTGCTGAGACTTAGCCCCTTGCACCACCAGGGAGGCCCCAGATTGCCTAATTCTTAAGAGCAGAGCTGGGTCATAAAACCAGGCTTGAGCCCCAACCATCACATCCATAACACTGTAGAAAGACTGTTCACAACTCTGTGGAAAACGGAAAATACAGAAAACACTGACTCTGCTCCTAGGAACGTGCATTCTGAGCAGAAAGACAAAATATATATGGGGCAGACTATGAGTGTATCTGGACACAAAGATGGGGAGGCTCTTCCTGGGGAGTCTTTGGCCTTTGAGGGGGAGAAGAGTGTGGTGAGATGGAGGGACGGCTTTGCCGGTGCACCGAGCTGGAAACCTCAGGGACCCTGGGTCCAAGTAGTGTCTCCTGCAGGCGATAGCCATCCCCTGAAAGCTGGGCATGCTCGATTCATTCTATCAGCCTGTGTTGTAGACCCACTGTGTGCTGAGACCTGACCCCTCCCTGGAGGAGCCCAGCAAGGAGAACTCAGGAGCCACCTGTGTTGTCTGTACTGTGTTGGGGAACAGTGGGGTGTGGATGTAGAGGGGACGCCTGTGTCCAGCGGGGGGGGGGGGGGTGGAGGGCGGGGGAGGAAGGCTCAGGAGGAGCTTATCTATAAGTAGAGGTCTGAGATAAGACTAGGAGCCACCAGGCGGAAATGAAGGAAGGAGTATTTGCCCAAACAAGCGGAAAACTTACCTCCGCAGAGAAGCCTGCACAAGTATATTTACGGCAGTCGGGTTCCTAATTGCCAAAACTTGGAAACCACAGAAATGCCCTTCTGTAGGTGAAGAGGTAAACAGTGGTCACCCAGACGGTGGGATAATATTCAGCAGTAAAAAGAAATGAGCTGTCAAGCCACGAAAAGACATGGAGAAAGCTGAAATGCGTATCCCTGGGCAAAGAAGCCAGTCTGACAAGGCTATGTTCTGGATAATAACACTATGGCGATAGTAATAAAATCAGTGGTTACCAGGAGCTGGGGGAGGGAGGGCTGAGTAGGCAGGGCACAGAGGGTTGTTAGGGCAGTGAAGGCACGCATTGCGTCAGCATGACGTGTGTACACGTCACTGTCCATTTGTTCAGACCCACAGAATGGACACCACCTCAGGGGCCCTGACGTAGCTGTTTCTGGGTGATGATGCGTCAGTGGAGGGTCACTGATTATAAAAATGTCCTGCTCGGAGGGGGATGTTGTTGGAGGGGGAGGCTGTTTGTGTTGGGGGGTATATGAGGATTCTGCTTTCTGCTCACTTTTGCTGTAAAAAGTGCTCTAAAAAATGGTCTAGTTGAGAAAAATAAGACAGAGAAGACAGGTTTCAGAAAACCTGAGAGGTGTGAGAGGAGGAGGGGGGAGGAAAGGAGAGTCAGAGAGAGGGAGGCACCTGACCAGGAAAGGGGCTGTGTGTAGCTGGAGCAGAGATGGCAGGTGAGAGGTGAAAGATGAGGCTGGAGCTGTCAGCTGGGGCTGGCCTGGCGGGAGGCCAAGTTTGGATATTGGGCATTTTCTAGAGGGGAGCTGTGGGAGCTTTGAGAGGGTCAGATACACCGTTGAGGAAGCTGGTGCTAACTGCTACACAGAGGATGGACTGCAGGGCCTGATCAGAGGTGGGGACAGCCTTCTAGTCTCGGGCCATGGCTGTGGAGAGGGGACGCATAACTCAGGGTGATTTGGAGCAGTGTCCTGAGCTGGATCCTGACTGCTGCTTTTCCCTCACCTCTGCCCCTCCCAGAGTTTGTCCGAATGATGTCCCGCTGAGGCCGAGAGGGCCCCTCCAGGACTGCCAAGCTCCCATAGGCGGGGAGAAGAGGAGCCGGGGCTCACCTCACCCCTGCCGGAGACGCCGAGAGCCCAGGATGTACTGGCGGATGGGGCCTGCCTGCACCCCGGGGAGGTGCCCACCCCGGACCCCCACCCCTCCGCACTGTGAAAGACTCACAACTCCTGCAACTGGAAAGGGGGGCGCCCGCCGATGAGGAGGCCGCCGTGCCAAGCCGGCAAAGATCATGCCAGGCACCAAGTGCCATGGACCCAGCCACCGCTGGCTGGGTGGGCCAGGGAGCCCGCCAGCAGACCCCACACAGCATGTGTGCCCTGGGGCAAAGCCTCGCCCTCCTTAGCTCTCTGCCCGCCCCAGCTCGCCTCAGCCCTGTTGTCTTGGAACCAATAAAAATATTTCCAAGGGAAAGGCGGCAGTGGGGGTCTTTGTTTCTCGGGCCTGGGTAGATGACACATTTCCTGAGTACCAGCCACACACCCAGAACTGGCTGGACACCCCTGCATTCAACATGCTTTTATTGAATGCCCATTACAGACTCAGCTGCTTCTACTCTCATCGAAGAAGCCAGAACTCGGTAGCTCTAACTGAAAGGAGACGCAATTTAACTGGCCATATGGCTGTCCCAAACAAAATCGATAAGAAAGTGGACGTTGGCTAAGTCCTGAGCAGGCTCTGCCCTGCTTCCTGTCTTCTGGTGCTTTCTTACTAGTTGGGGAGGCAGATGTGAAATCACATCCATACATGATTGTAAATTGGGATACTGCTGCTAAGGAAACACACAGGGACTTTCCGTAGGGTGACAGGAGCCCTGGGCTTCTCTGGGGCGGTCAGAACAGGTGCACTTGAAGAAATGCTGACAAGATTTTTGCCCTGGAGGGAATCCCAGCTTGTGTGAGTGGACAGATGTGGAAACAGCTGTTATCCTCTCTGTTAAGGGAGAAGCAGGATGATAGAATAGTTAGAGTCTGGGTTTACTTGCTGTGTGACTTTGGGCTGGTCATGTCCCCTCTCTAAACCTCGGTTTCTTCCTGTGTCATGTGGAATGGTAAAGCGCTCTGGCTGGGTGCCTTGCACACCTCCAGGGGCCGCTATTCCCCAAACTCAGTGGAGAGTGCCTTGGAATTGTGCAATGTGATGAGATTAAACAGGATCCTCTGTAATTGTGATTGATTTTCTTAAAAAATTTTTGAAAGATTTATTTATTCATGCATACAAGATCTGGGGTGTAGGCCAGAGGTGCGAGGGATGAGAGGATTCAGCAGAGACAGAGTGAGGAGCAGAACAGGCAGAAGGACTGAAATACACTGCTGAGGGGAGCAGCAGGTGAGACAGGAGACGTCTGCTCTGCCATGTGGGTAGCTCCCTGGCCGGGGAATCAAACTCCTGCTGCAGTGGCTGCGGATAGCTTCATAGTGCTGAGATTTAACCCCTTGCGCCACCAGGGAGGCCCCATGTGATTAATTTCTATAAGTGAAGGGTGGAAGGAGACTGGAGGGAGAAGACTGGGCCGACGTTGCCCAGTATCTTTGGCAGGTTTGGGGCATCATCAGACAGTGGTGTGGGATGGACCTCGTACTCCAAGTCAGTGGGTCTCAAACTCTAATTTGCATATAAGAATCACCTGGCACTTTTGTTAAGCCACAAATCTGGGTCTCACCCCGGTGATTCTGATTTCCTGTTGTGGGAGGGGCTCATGAACTGTCATCTGTAACAAACTCCCAGGGAATGCGGACACCTGCCAGTTTGGGGACCACAATTTAATAACATGGCTGTAAAACTCAGGTGTGTGGGAGGCAGTTGTGTTTACAGGCTTGTGGGGCGGGAGGAGAGGCTGCGGGGCTAAAGGCTGCTTGGAAGAGGATGAGGAATCCCCTGCCCATATGCTACGCAGAGGGAGGATCCTTGTTCTCAGGCCTGGCAGAGAATGTAGAAAGGACTGTGGGGCCTGGCCTGAAGCCTGGGTAATTCCCATGTCCCTGAGGCCGGGGGGCTGGAAACTCCGAATTTGCTCTAATAATCCAATTCTGAGACTAAGCTCTTGGCTCCATGCCATGAGAGGCCTGCCTACAGCCCTGCCTGCTCCTGTTCCAACTCAGCTCTGGCCCCACCACTGCTTTAATACTACCCTGGTGGGAAGCTCTGCGCGTGTCGTCTTAGAGGAGCACACAACATCTGAAAGGACTGCACTCGAACCTGTATTTGTCTCCATGTGACTTGTAAGTCCAGCTCATTTACTTATTCATGCACTCAGCTGATATTTATTGAGCACTTACTATGTGTCAGGGTTCCTATCTTCAAGGGCTCAGACTCCAGAAGGGAAAACAGGTAAGAGAACAGACTAGTGTAGGTAGGAGAGAAGTGTGACTCACTAGGTTATTTACAAGATTCGTTTAAGAGCAGTGAGGGTACAAGAAAGACACCGAATCCAACCAGACAGGGTTGGGGTGGGGTGAAAAGGACAGATTAACTAGGATCTGAAGGATCAGCTGATAGGAGGAAGTGGGGGACTGAGTGGATTGAGAGAACAGCCTGGAGGTAAGGGAGAGAGTGGCTCCTTTGGGAAAGGAGGCATAATCCCACCTCCCTGGTGCACCGGGTGGAGGGAGGAACAGAGGCAGGCAAGGGGGGAATCCCACAGCAGACCCTGGAGTGTGAGAGGTTCAGGTAGGGCCTCTGCGGAGCTGCTTCTTGTGTGCCCCAGGCCCGTGCAGCGGAAACCTTGGTGCTTATAAATGGCTTGCCTTGGGAACAGATCTGTCCAGAAGATGGAGCAAATCTCAGAGCAGCCGAGGAAACGGGAGCTTCCCAGTAGCGATGCAGGTCAACAGACAGAAAACCAGGCTTCCTATCCCATAATGGAAGAACAACCCCCCCCCCATCCCTTTCTTTTACAGTAAAAGGGTTAAAAAATGTTTATGGGCTCAGGAGCCAGCTATCTGGGTTTGAATCCCAGCTCTGCTTCTTATCAGCTATTGTCATCGCAGATAAGTTATGAGACCCTCTGGGTGTCAGTTTCCTCATCTGTAAAACAGAGATGATGTTATAACATTTGAGGATTAAGCAATTAGTATAATTGAAGCCTTTAGAACAGTGCCTGGCACACAGCGAGCGTGCTAACGGTTTTCTCTATTATCATTATTGCATTGTCATTCCCATTTCCCTACTCCTCTCTCCCATGTGTCTTCATGCCTCCATGATTCCCTGTCAAGTAAAGGGAAAGGGAGAGCCAGCCATGACATTCTTTAATGACTGTGGTGGAACCTCTCACAGTGACAAGTGACAAGATAATCACAGCCTAAATCTGGGATCTGGCTCGATGATCAGGGAGTGAGCAGTGAACGGCTGCTCCACATGGTCCTGCAAGGTGGCCTGGATCCTGTCAGCTGTGCCTGGGGCTCAGGTTACAGGGAAACATCCCTATGGCAACATGGTAAAGAGCCAGACTATCCCATCACCCCTTTGGAGGTGCCTGCCACCTGCTGTCATGTTTTTGCTGATGCCTGCCTTTCCTAGAGAGATGACTGAGGCATAGACTTTGGTGGTCACATGAACTGGGTTCTCATCTCAGTTCTGCGCCTCACTGGAGTTAAGGGAATTATGTGGATAAGGTGGATATCTTCAGACAGTCCCTTTTCCTCTTTGAGCCTTGTTATCGGTTACTAATTATTGCACCTTCTTGGTAGGTGTTTGTGAAGAAGTAGCCATGCATGTCTAGTAGAGGGCCGAGGGCCAGGCCTCATACATGCCATTTCCTCTGCCTGGAATGCTTTTCCTTGCACTCTCTGACTACTTGGATCCTTCTCATTTCTTTTTAAATAAATTTTATTTATTTTTATGTGGAAGAACTGGGGTGTAGGCCAGAGGTAGAGGGGGTGAGAGGATTCACTAGAGACAGAATGGGAAGCAGAACAGGTGGATTAACTGAAATACACTGCTGAGGGGAGCAGCGGATGAGACGGGAGAGGTCTGCTGCACCAAATGGGTCAGCTCCCTGGCTGGGGATAGAACTCCTGCTACAGTGGCTGGCAATAGCTTGATAGAGCTTAGACTTTATTTTTTATTTTTTTAAAGATTTATTTATTTATTTGTATTATTTATTTATACAAGCACTGGGTACAGTCAGAAGCGTGGGAGCATGAGAGAATTCACCAGAGCCAGAGCGGGGAGCAGAGCAGGCAGAAGGACCGAAGTACACTGCTGAGGGGAGCAGCGGGTGGCAGGAGAGGTCTGCGCGCCATGTTGGATCCTCCTCCAGTGGCTGGGGAGCAGCCGGGGATCGAACCGGCGCTGCAAAGGCTGCGGGCAGCTTCGCAACCCAGTGCTCAACCTCTGCGCCACCTGGGAGGCCCGAGCTTAGACTTTAACCACTGTGGAGTGGCTGTCATTTGTGATGGTTGCCTTCAGGGGCAGTAAGGGCTCCAGGTCCTGACCCTGGTGTCTCTCCTGACCTCAGGTCTCCCTCTGCTCCCAGGAGCTAAAGGGACAGTTGATGAGTCAACAGTGCTAGTATAACAGGGTGGTCCCCAGGAAAGAGGGAGGTTCCAGATTTCCTGCCCCACCCAAAAGGAGGGTGGAGCTGAGCAGGAAGAAAAGAAACTGCAGAGGAGACTGAGGGAGGAAGGAAGCAGGATGAAGATCCAGAAGGAGACCTGGAGGAGGCACATGGAGCCGAGAGACATGTGAAGAAACTGCACTTGTCTTTTGGTCGTGGACTGGGTGACACAGGTGTGGGTGAGAGACCCACGGGGAGGTGACAATGGTGGTTTTTGTCTTGATTTTGATTTTGCTCTTTTCCTCCCAGACTTGTCTGGTTGTTTCTGATTCTTTTCTGTGGGTCTGCACTGGAAGATGCTTTAGACTCGTGGCAGGCTTTGGGGACTTGCTCTGGGCCAATCCTGCTTGGGTGGACTTTTACCCACGAGGGGATGGGTAACTTTGGGGGCTGGATTTAGAAACTATATTCTTTGTCTTTCCTGTATTGTTTACTAACTCTGTTAAAGTTTCTTCCCACTAAAGTCTCATATGTTTTGTGTTGATGCGATGGATGGCAGAAACTATTTAGAGCAGGCAGGTTCGTGGGGTTTGGGGTGCCCCTCTCCCTGCCCTGTAACACTAGCTGTCGTGTTTCTTCTTGTTGCTTCCCTAATTTGCCCACCTCTAGGGAAGAGAGAACGAAAAGGATAAAGCAGTTGCAATATTTATTCATGTGGTATTGTTGGGGATGTGTTAAGTTTCTCTTATTCATCATCTCATTCCATCTTTACAACTACCCCATTTTACAGATGAGGAAACTGAGGTTCAGAGAGGGCATGTGAGTTGCCAAACAAACACCTTCAACAGATAACAAACACTGTCCCTCAAGTTCCTGAATCTAAAAATGGTGTTCTTACTATAATGAAAAGA